GAGGTGTGTGGACTTCAAGGTTCACATACTTTTTAAAATTTACAAAAATACCCATTGAAGAATTGGCGGGCCATGACGTCATGAATCAAAGAATCGGGAGAATCATGACATCACATGGCGATTCACTATTGGGAATCGCCCGGTTCTCTCTAGACACTGGCGATTCCCAATATTGTAGTGGAACCGGCACAGGGTCTGCCGATTCCCGAGTAGAACCGGGCGAGTTCGGTTCGACTCACCGAGTTTTCAAACCATGATTAAATCTAATCAAGACATAACCTATATTTCCTTCTTCATGAAGATCCATATCTATTCCTGTTCTAAACCCCAATCTTACTTTCTTCAATCTTAACCTCTTCTATCATTCTCATTCTTCTTTCCCAAACCCTAATCCCTCTCTCATATTTCCTCCATATTAAGGGCACATATTGTTCATTCTACTAGTCATAGTACTATTCACACTTCTAGTTCACGTCACTATTCAAAATACTGTAAACAGTGCTGTTCACATTATTCACTGTTCTGTTCATGGTACTGTTCACATTGCTGTTCATGCTACAGTTCTTGCTCTATTTCGTCTATCACTAGTTTTTTTAACCCTCCATTTACCTCATATTCTCCCTTATATGCATCATAAAAGCTGTGGAACCAAGTTCTAAATACCTGCTTCAGCTCATATACAGATCTATTTAACTTACAAACATTTTCAAACGGGTTTGCTTCAAGTGGTTGCTCCACATATACTTCTTCCTTTAAATCTCCATGCAAGCAAGCATTTTTAACATCCAATGGATAAAGTGGCTAATCATGCATGAGGGCAAGAGATATAACAACCTATGGTAACAATTTTAACAACAGGACTAAAAGTTTCCTCACAATCCAAGCCATGTTGTTGAAGTTCATATTATTCTATGTTGAAGTCCGATGCTATGCATATGTGCACATAGATAGCAGCCAAAGAAATAAACTCTCCCCTAAGGCTAAAGTGTACATATTTGTTGGCTATGCTAATGAGAATAAAGGGTTAGATGTTACAGTCCTAGATTGTGATGCAAGGAAGATGGTGGGAAGAAATAAATAAAAAAATAAAAATAAAGGCTGAGAGAATATACCCTCTCTCAAAGTGCAGTCCACCCCAAAGATCTCTTCACAAGACCCAAAACAATTTGCTTGCTTGCTTAATTAACTAAGTTCCAAAGAGGGGCGTACTATTTGGAACTTAATTGCACTTATGTAGTGCAAAGTGGAGTATGTGTTTTGGGGAACATGGCACAAATTGCACGGTGCGCATGTGCACGACGCTCATCATAAGTGTGGGCAACATTGCTACACTTTGCAATCCATAGTGCACATTGAGTGATTTGTGATGTGCACA